TTTGGAGTTTGGTCCTCAAAAAAAAAAGATAGATAAGAAATACAAAACGAACACCGATACTTCACTAAAAGAAGAACAGGAAATGATATGTTGGAGGGCAAACGATGGATCGACATGTTGAGGTTATGTCTTTCAGGGATTTCAGGCATGTCTTTCCCCTCTCTCATTACCTTGTTTTCTGTCAAACTACTTTCAAGTAAAGGCCATTAGAGCCAGCAAAACTTTTTTATTTTTTTATTTTTAAATAGCAGCTATTGACAGACATTTTATGCAAACAAAGAGAACAGGAGATAAATAAGAAGATGCAAATAAGGTGGACCATATTTTTTAGAAGTGCGTTTTTTGAAGACTTTTTCTCACAAAAATATTGACGTATTATAAATTCATTGTGGGACTTTGAATTCAACTCGAAAAGTTCAGGTGATAATTAGGAAAATTATCAATTTCACTTTTACGGTGAACAAGTACTGGCACAAAAGTTGGAGAAAATATTTTTTCTGAAACATATTTCCCTTATTCTATTACTCAATCACTCACTCGCTCTATGACATACTATACACACATGACCACACACACACATACATATTTAGTTTGTAATTTTACCTTCCAAGTAACTAGAATGCTGTCAAAACTGAGGGCCTGAAGCTGCACATCGACCGGGGGACCCTCAGGTGCTGCAGAGAGGTCAAAGTTTAAGGATAATTGTTTTCAAAATTATGAACTTTGAGTTTGATTATATTAAAGGCTTGATGGACGGGGATTTACCTGCTTCTTTTGTTGTAAATATCAGGACATTGCTGGGTTCGCTCAGTCCCACATTGTTGACCGCAAACATGCGGAGGTTATAAGTCTTGGCAGGACGTAAATCGACCAACGTCACCTGAGTCAGGTGAGCCTGTGGCACTACAGTTCTTTTGGCCGTATCCCAAGACGCTGTCGGACAGAAATAAAATGAGAAAAGAAAACCCAGTGAAAAACAATCTGAAGATCCTGATACTTGCTTTTCTGATTGTAAGAACAAATCTCCTCAGAAATAAAAATATATTATAGACCAACTCAAGACATTAGCAGGACTTTGCAAACTGTTGGTAACAGCTTGTAAAGCAAGTCAGCACATAGCAACATGCTTTTCTTGTCCTTACCATATTTGCTTTTTAAGTCCACCTTGTAGGCTGTAATAGATCTACCTCCATCAAATGGAGGGGTCCAGCGAACAGTGATAGTTCGTTCCCTCACCTCTCTTGTTTCCACCTTAACAGGAAAAGGTCGTCCTGAAACAGAAATGCAGTATTTTGCCAGTTACTAAGGTACCAAAAAAAAAAACAATAAAAGAAAAAAATGTATAATTACTATTCACTGTGAATTTTCACTTTTAAGAGTTTTTAATGTGATATATGCAACGTGCATTATTTCAGCAATATGCTTTCTAGAGGCAAAAGAGTACCTGGATTTACTGTCAGAGTAATCTCAAGTTTCTGATCGTTGAACCAGCCTGGTATGTCTATCCGACAGCCGTATACGCCGGAGTCACTCTCCTGAACCTGCCTGATGGTCAGAGAAGCCTCACCCGCGCCAAGATCACCCATAAGAGCGTAGCGCTCCGACTGCCGGCTGAGCACGTTGGTCCCGTCTGACCTGAGCACCTCATTGGCACAGCCACTTTTGGGTATATTTCCTCTGCCCCAGCAGAAAGGCAGCTTGCCGTAATACCCAGCATCATAATTGCATCTTAGAGTGACATCTGTCCCCACTGTGGTTATTACGGGGTTTGCACAGACATCACCTAAAAAACAAACAAAACAAAAGTGCAAGGAAAAGTCCACTGCTGTCAAATAAAACACTCCTTAATGATTGTCTTACCTCTGTTCACCCAAAAGAGAAGAAAGCAGCACAAAGTGATGAGCCTCATTCTCATATAAATCTTGCTGCAGAGCTCTCCTGAGTAAGTGATCAGTTCATCTGTCAGACACCTTTGAAGTGACCACAGAGTGGCTTCAGCCCTGGAGTGTTTCTAAATCACATGACGCTCCGTTGATATGCTCACACCAACAACTTTTGGTGGCAGAAGAGGAATGCAGAACAGAGCTGTTTCCTTCCCTGTGGTTTTGGTTCCCTTCTGCAAGAAGAAGAAAAATGTTTCTTTTTGATGAATAGACACAACAGTCTCAAGGTTCTCAAGGTTCTCAGTGTGACCGCTGTGCTACCTAGTGTCTGCGTCTCAATCTGGATTATGGCTTTATTCTGGGAAAATGCTTGAAATTCAGAGGACGGTGTTTAAGAATTTATTTCTAAACCTTTTAAAATTAGCTTTACTCAGGACTAACAATGTTTTAACTGCAAGTCAGATTATATATTGATCCTGCACCTTGTGACATCATTGAGAAAGACAAAGTTGGTTGCAAATGTGTATTTCGGTCTGTAAGGAGAAAAAGAATCAAAATACATCAAAGGGAAATTACTCCAAATATTTAAAAAAATCCATGTTATGTTTTATTTGAACATTTTATCAGATTTCATCTTGTCATTACATTATTTTATTTCATTTTTATTTCATTCAATCGATGATAAATGTGAACAGTTCACACAGCAACTAAGAGCAACAAATGGGAATATTTTTAAAAAGAGAGGATCTTAAAATCCCAGGTTTCCCCTCTGAGCTTTAAGGCTCGTAATCTGAGTAATGAAAGAAATAATCTTTCCGCAACTGTTGGTTCTGTTCGTTTATGTCTGCGTCAATTTTATTTATGTATTTATTATAACTCTGAGCAATAACTATTCAACAAGTCAGAAAAAAATTCTACAACCCAAACTACAAACAGCCTGTTGCAGGGATGAACCCAATGTGTCCTCTGTGACACGAGTGAAGATAGAAACTCTGGTTTACCCAAAGCCACGGTCTCTTGCATAGTTTTGAACTGCTGAGTAAACATTTGGGTCTCTTCGGGTGTTTTGTAACCCCAGAAAAAAAAAAAAAAAAACTTCCTCTGAAGCATGAGAACAGAAAGGTTCAATATACTCTCAAAATTTATGGCAGAAAAAAGTATATTTTTAGCCTTTGGTTCAATTGTTATGACTGAACAAGCATATTTAAGAAGTTTCTCAGAACTAATACACTATGACAATAATACACTGTGTAAATGTGACAATTTACACAGTTTCATTAACAAAATAATTTATTCACTTAATAATTCAATAATTTGCAATGTGGATATTTCTGTTCATGGTTACAGAGGAGTTGTGATTGGGTAAGAGATTAATTTAATCCTGGAAGGGTTCAGAAGATCACACAACAGACTTTTACTTTTGATGGGATTATAAAACCAAAACAGAATTAAGGAGGCTTTGTCATACAAATTAAAACTTTCATCCATCTGTTCGCAAAATCCAGGCAATATTTGCTAGATCACGTAATTCATGGCAGATTTGGATTCAAAATATGTTTTTATTCAACAAAGTCAACAGAAAATGTCACAGGCATCTATCAAAACACAATAACGTAGATGGTGAATCAATTTGGAAAAAAGTTTTCCCTTTTCATTTACATTTTTTAACAAATTCAGAAAATTACTCTCAAAATGAAAGGAAAACAATCTTCACAGTCACCAACTCTCACAAATACAGACCAATTTGTTTACATTGGTATTAAGATGATGAATCTGTGACGATGAAGGTCATTTCTTTGAGGTTGGAAAGCCTCCTTGATGTGACCCTAATTGATTCTCAATAAGATTTCATTGTGGTTCCACTCCAAAACTTTACCATAACTTGCCTTCAGAATAAATGTTGGTGAAATGAAAATGTTATTTGAAATCTTTTTTCTAAGAGGAGTATTAATCATGTTGGGTCTATCTCCAAAGGTCAGTGGGTGAGAAGAATCCCAGTCAGAACATTGCAAGGAAATTTGCAACTTGATGATATTAAAAATATATAAAAACAGGAACTGAAAAAGAAACAAAGGAATTGACATGTTATTGAAACGAAAGATAAAAAAATGCACTTACACCAGTCATTACTTGGAAACAAGTTTTGGAATTTATCATTTTTGTCCACACGGAACATATCTACTCGGAAGATCATTTTGTTATTAATCTTAATTATTTTGAACTGTTAGTACTTTACTCAAGGAGAGCTCACGTAAGCAAGCGTTCTGCAGGAAGACTCTGAGTTGGGATTTGAAGCCAGAACTTTATCGCTGCAAGGCAACATCATTAACATCATGTCATCAAACAGACCTAATTTTATGACTATGGAAGTATTGATACGTTTCAGGACCTCTCAGGTGGTTCATAGCTTCTCCATCCACAGCAATGGAGTTTACAAATCACCTACTAACGCTGGCTCACATGATCAAATGTCTTTTAAAGCTCATTCCCTTATTCTTTAAAACATGAAGGACCGCAGATGTTATAATCTTATGAGCATGTGACACTGGGTCTGGAAATCATGCACAAAGCTTGACATGTTGTAGAAATAACATAAAAGGCATTATCTTACTTTAATCAAGCTTACTCCTAACGAAACTACAATAATGATATCTCTCATTTTAATTATTTTATTATAGTGTAAATTTCCACCTACAAATGGGAAAGAAGGCACAGAGGTTGAGACTTGTGTTTTCTCCTGCAGTTCTGTTTACTGTCTGAACCCTGATAACCTTTCCACAGCCAGATACTAATCAAGATTAAATGCCCCCAGTACAAACAACCATTTAATGGCTGGTTTCTGAATATATTAAAGCAAATCTGCTCAGTATCTCAAGACAATGCAGTTTAAGCTTTACAATCTTTTTTAAGCTGCACAATGGTGCCTATCCACATCTATTGCTCACTTTAGGTAATGAGGAAGTGGTTCTGTTATCATGATTGGTGGAGAATAGCTGCCCTTCCAGGATAGATGATTAAATCTTTCCTGGTTAATGATCCAATCAGAAGATGGAAAAAACTGAAAAAACTTTCTTTTTTTTGTGCATGAATCAATTAGAAAGACAAGTTTGATTCAAGTTTACATAAACAAAACTTTACTCAAGTTGTTACCGTTAATTACAAACAGTGTTAAAAACACAGGGTGGCCACTTAATGAGCCAAGGACTTCTTACTATTCAGCAGCCTGTGGCAGCTTCCTCTTTTACAAGTGTGGTCCCTCTTCCAACGCTGTTTCTGAATCCTGTTTGCTCATGGAGAGCTACGCAATGAAGCATCATTTATATTGCTCTCAAGCAAAAATACAGCAAAGGCTTAAAACCGAACCACTAATCAAAAGTCCACAGACAAAATAAGTGATAATTTACAGCCTTTGAACCACACATACTAAATATATATGTCAATTATCACATTTTTCTGCATACAGTTAATTCGAGTTACACCATTGTTTATTCAAAATATAGTTAATTGATGTAATTCCAGAAATCATTGTTTTAATATGTAAACAAAGAAGAAAAAAAGACGACATGAAGTACAAAAGCACATCACCTGTTTATAACGGCATGTAGTTTGGTAGTTTGTCCAGTAGGTGGCACTGTGCCCACAACTGTAAACCATCACAGTCGTTTCATGTCAGACACAAATAAATTCAAGCAGATTAATTAACATTTATCTTACGCTATTTTAGTGAGATTAATGTTTACTATTGAGAAACCTTTTTCATTGAATTTATAGTAGCTGAGAAATTGTTACAAAATAAAATGGGGAGATTTAAAACATGCAGAGCATCATTTAGTCATAAGGTATCGTAAATATTTTCAGCTGTGATGGTGTTGAGCTGCTGAGGCGTCGTCCTCCTCATGAGGACCTTCCTCCCTGGTTAGGAGAAATGCCGTGATTAGACATATTTTTGGTCTGAAGCAGAAGGATTATTTTAAAATGAATCCGGACAGCAGATGGATGAGTCACAATCTATAAAACGCTGCACACTTACCGAAGATGAGGATGAGGATTAGGATTAGGGTGAGGAAGAAAATAACTGCAATCCTCCCGATGTTCTTTGCTTCAAAGAAGGCTTTGAAAATTTCATGGCGTGAAAAATTAACCTTATCATAGGAGACAGGAACAAATATAAATTAATTATAGTTTGGATTTCTCCCATTCATTTTTAGCTCATAAAATAAGAATATTTTTTCAAACAAAAAAAATATTTGTTTTTACCATTTCATTTTTCACTTTTTTTTTGCCAATGTTATAAACTGAAGAACAAATTTAAACAAAACTTAAATAAAACAATTCTGGAGTTTATTTTTCTCACTTAAGATTCCTATTGTGCTTATTAAAAATTTGCTATTGACGTATCTGTTTTGATAACATTTACCTACCTGACTTGTTGCACTTTGAATTTTTGCTATTTCTGAGCCTGTAGAGAAATAAAATGTATTTATTAATTTGATCTCTCCAATATAAAAGTTAAACATATTTTTTCATTCATCTAATGAAAGCAAATAATCTGCCAGACTTAAAATTTAAAGAATCATAATCTGTATTTTTTAACATTGTTTTCTTGTAAATACGTATATAAGGAGTGTTTTTACAAAAGAAGGCGAGGCTGAATTATTGCAAACACGCATGGTATTAATCTGGATGTCAAGTGTTCATCAGAGAGACAGTTTAGTGGAAGAACCTGTCTCTGGCAGCTATTTTCTTAAAATAGCGCTCTGTAATGTTGACTTGAAGGCAAACGGCTAAACAGTTTGTATACAGGATGTGTGGGGTCTGCATAGATTATCGCTTCCCTTCTTTTAACCCCATACAGATCCTGCATAGAGGGAAGATTGTTCCTAGTGGCCCTCAGTGGAGACCTGAATGTTCAGTGTGGTCCTTTCATGTTTTCTGGATGATTCAAACCACATGGTGATGCAACATTTGTACCCATGTTGGTTGTGCACCTATTTCTACCGCATTTCTTCTGTCCACTCAACTTTCCATTGATGTTTGAACACCCTTTATATGGAAGCTGTCAAGGAGGCAATCTTCACAAAGAAAACTGGATTATTTTAGCCATCAGCCATAATCATCACAATTAATCAAATAAACAATTATCACTTTATGTTCAATGAACTGGTAGAAAAGTTTTATTCTGAATAAAAACATGCTCATATTTTGAGTAAAAACATGCACTTGTGTTTTCTTTTAGTACAGAGAAGGACCACTTACATTTGCTTACTGTCACAGTGACAGCCTGTGTTGAGCTTTGGATGTCAAGCTCTTCCACAGGAGCTGAAAACAAACAAAATGTCCTATTTAGCTCAAGTTGAAACAGTTACAGTCAAAATGATATGATATGTTCTTCTCATAGCACAAGTGTTAGAAGCAACATGCATCTTCTTAGCAACAGGTTATATTTATCTGTCAATGCTGCATATAGCATATATTTTTTACACATCTGCTTCTACATTTTATTTAGGTTTCAACAGGATGACTCAACTATGACCAGTGGAAGTGGTGAGCTCTTAAACTGGTTACATTTGCAGGGAGGAAGTTGTTTTAATATAAAAGAGGGCTAAAGGTTGTATTTTGTGTGAGAAATGTGTGAGGGATCAAACTTTGTATAATATCCTCTACTGTGCTTCTCATACGTTGCCTGGACAGACTGATATTCCTTCTATGCCATCACATAAGATAGCAAACATCATATAAATTACTTTGTGATGTCCCATTTAGTGAGCATTACCTTCTTCAATAGTCAGGTGTACGTTGTTCTTTTGGTCATTGAACCATCCAGGAATCTCCACCCTGCAGCCGTAGGTCCCAGAATCTGTTTTCTGAGCTTTAATGATGGTCAAAGAAACGTCACCCTGCATGACCTGGCTCAGCAGCTGGTACCTAGGGGACTCTCTGAAAGTCACATTCTTATAATCCGTTGAGAGGATTGTGTTGCTACATTTGGATGTGGGCACCGGCCCGTGTCCCCAGCAGACACTGAGGACACCGTTAGCTCGGACATCATAACTGCAGGGCAGAGTGACATCCTGTCCAATGTAGCCAGTGACCGTAAGAGTGCAGGATGACACTGAAAAGAGACGGCAATGATAGACCAAACATAGAAACACACACGTACCGTTCAGCCAACGAGTAAATAATATCAGCTAAAAATAACCCCCAAAATATTCACTTACCTTGGATCAGGATGACAAGGAACGGAATCAACAGACCACACATCAGTGTGGAGTATTGTACAAGTATATCCTTAAGAGAGGCTACCAGGTATTTCTGCCACCACATGCATTCAGACTGTCCTTTTTTAGCCAAATCGTGAAGTTCCGTCTTTAGTTCAAAGAAATAAGGAAGGAAATCAATACTGCTCCTGTATGCATTTAGATCTTAATTCTTCATAAGAGCAAGAAATCCTAGGACCACAATCAATCGCATCTGCTGCAATACATTTGGAATAATTCCACTTAAAGTCAGCCTAAATCTGCTGCGAATAACCAGAAGAAAATCAGCAGTGATCAAAAATGCTGATGCAGCTGTCAATATATTCAGAAAGGGAAGCTTCAAATACCAACATGCGATGACACAGACTCTGAGGAAACATGATGTATGAGCAACTTATTTTACACAATCAGGTTTCAAAGAAACTGCTTTAATATTTGAAAATTATCATAAATACTGCTACTTTTGTGATGGAAAGTGCTTACATTGTTTTTATATAGTTATTTAGTTTGATTTAGTTTGACGTTGTCATTGCTGGTAAAATAAGAGATTTTTTGAAGCCCGGCCCGCCCTGTTGATGTTCACATTAACACAGATTTTATCTCTTGATTGTCAAGCTTCTAGTCATCCTTCCAAATGTTGCTTCTCCTGTTTTTGTCTGCTTTATTGCTAAAAATGAAAAATGCTTAGCAGGTTCAGCACACCCCATAAGAATGACAAACAAGCCGAACAGCTTTCATTCTGTCAGGACTGATTGCAGAATACACCGCCTTGTTGTTTCTGTTTGTTTTGAACAGATCGAGACAACTGGTATTTTAAAGAAGCTCTTGACTGTCACTTTCATTACGGTTCTATCTTATTCTGCTTCCTAAACAAACGCTTCAATCAATGAAAAGTGGCCTCATAAATATATTGCGATTTTTCACACTCTCACTGTGCTTTTGTCTAGACGCCAAGTTTATCTTCTCTTTATTTTGCAAATATGGAAGTAGCAACATAAATCTCTTTATGCATTGCTTTTCAAAAGTATTTATTGATTTAGCACAATGTTTGCTGTAGGTTTGGGATCAGTGAGCTGTGATGGCCACACCAAAACATTGTACTTAAGCCACTTCATCACCACTCATGGTTAATGTCTTTAGATGTTGCTTCATTATTTCTACATAATGTTCGTTCCTCGTGATTGGATCTACATTAAGCCCCAAAACATGATGCTGCCACTACCATACTTCATGGTTAAGATGGTACTAGGGTCTCTTTTTTTCCTCCATATGTAACGATGGTTACAATGACCAAACATTTCCACCTGAGTTTAATCAGATTAAAGGACATGTCTCTAAAAATTAAGGTCTTTGTCCTAGTGTGCATTTACAAACTGCAGTATGACTTTTTATGTTTCTGTTGAGAAAAGAAAAAAAAAAAACAGAAACAGCAAGAGATAAACTCTCCTGTCTGAAAGGATTTTTAGCTCATGTCAGTTTTGCTGGGGATGACGCTGATCTCTGGCTTTTTTTCTGGGGTCAATCTTATATTCACCTCTGGGACACAGAACTCATTTCCTTTCTGAGCAGCTTGACTACTGGAAATTAAAGAATGCTGTTCCCCTCTACATTGTCATGATCTTGATCTGTATAATAACTTTGCAAATATCCAATCTTTACAGTGTTGTCGTCTGAGATGACGTGGTGTAGTGTCTCAAAGGTTCAGAGGAAGCAAATTACGAAGACAAAGTTTAGCACAGTCCACTGTTGGAATTTGTTCATTTATTTTGCCAAAACTCACCGATAGTTACCATTTCTGGCCTCATTTTTCTTTTTCTCCTAAGAGAGTTTGCTCTAAGCTTTTTCACATTTTTTTTAGTCAGTGTCTCCCAGCGGTGTTTAAATTCACATCACAGTATGTAAGAAACGTTGAAATCTCATTGTTATTTGCATTATTAATGTAAAGAAAGTGTCAGTATGTATGTGTGTGTATATGTATAAGCAGAGAAGCGTGAGAAAAATATTTTGTCTTTGTCAGTCATTTCCTACCCTCCTCTCACCTCTGTCAAGTCTTTCCTCACATCCTGCCTTCATCTCTGTCATCCACCACTGAGTTCTGGTCCTGAGATCACAAAGCTGCTGCTGCAGTGGCCATTTCTGTTTCCAGGTTTGATTTATATACAGAAAATAAAAAAAGAAACTAAAAAAACATCAACATTTTCTTTTGCTTTGTCATGGATCACCATTAGGCATGTCCAAAAGCCATATCAAGTGCTGACAAAAATTGTTTGCATCCTTACAAGTTTCTTTTGCCTTTGCTACTTTGTCAGATTAAACACATTTCTACTTTCACTATAGATTTTATTTCTGTTTGGTGTATGTAATTGGTAGAGTTAGTTTTCTTCTTACTTACTTTCATTGGCTGAAAAACAATTACAGGCAGAATTACTGCCACCGACTGGTAAGGAGTGGAAACAAACAAAAATAGTAACTTGATCTTACTGTCAGCAACCAACCCCACCTGAACACCGTCACTTCACCCAGAAGCTTGCTCTGTCTATATCCATGTCCTGAAGGTGTTAGTGTCTTTAGGCTTCTTTGTTTTTGTGGGACAGTTGGAAATGGAAAATAAAAATATTTATACGAAGGTTAGCAAAGTTAAATAACTTCAATTCAAGTTATATATATATATATATATATATTTATATATATATATATATATATATATATATATATATATATATATATATATATATATATATATATATATATATAAAGGTTTGTGTTGATTCATCACATAGAATCCAAATTAAACATATCCTCATTTTTGTTTTTTTTTGTGACAAAATATGACAAAAGTTGAAGGATTAGAATCAATTAGGCAAGATCTATTATTTTTAGACCTTTAGGGTTTTGCATCACCAGCTGCACATGGTTTCATTAGAGTTTAAAAATGTTTGCCTTGTACCAGTTGTTTTATGCTTTCATTAAAATGTGGAAAAATATTCAACTATGTAAATAAGGACAGTTTATTTTTAACTTTAATGGCAACATTTTTCTTACATAAAAAAACACTACTTTTTCATTGTCAGTTTCCCAGTGACTTTTGTACTTGGAAAATCTAATGCAATAGCATTATAAATAACGTTCCAATTTATTTTCACTACTCATACACATAAACCATTTGTTTATAAAATTCTCTACTATAAAAAGAAACCAAGATAGTTGATTTTTACCAGGGATTGGAGTCACTGTCAAAATGCTTTGAAGATAAAAGTTTAAAAATGGACTTTAGAGCAGAATAGTTGGTCTGAAGCCAAGATGGAGGCATTGACAAAAGTCTGGTAGACTTTTGCAGATGTCAGATTAAACTGGAAACAAACAGAAAAGGGGAAATGATACCACTGAGGTCACTCAGTGTCTTTTGTCAAAATCACCCAGTAGAGGTTGGTAATTGCTGTATCAGCTGCCTTTGTATTAAGCAAACAGGGATTTAAAGAGTAACAACCACACAATTAACCACATGCATGTCAGTATGACGTTTTCTGACCCGACTGACTTCATATCAACTTGATGTGATTGTGTATTTATCCAACTTGTCCTATATCAAGTAGATCCCTGATATGGGACAGTTGGAAATGGAAAATAAAAATATTTATACGAAGGTTAGCAAAGTTAAATAACTTCAATTCAAGCAAAGTGATGATACAAGGCACATCACAATAACATTTCTTTGCTCTTGTATAATTAAGGAGTATTTCTTAATTGACATAACTTCTCATGTAAAGGAAATTAACCAAATATTGTTAAGTGAATATTTGATTTATATTTGCTTTCACTTTGATAACAGTCAGGAGGACAACGGTGTCATGGAGCCATTGACTAACATATAAGCATTTTGAAGGTGGCAGTTAAAGGTTGAAATAAAAAAAAAGTGGAAAAAATTATAATTTCACCTTAGTGTCTGTCACTCCTAAAGCAATAAATATATACATATTTATAAAGCAGCTTCTATTTCTACAAAATACCTAAACATTAGCTGACACTTGGATCAATTGTAGATCAGTAAGTTGTTTTAAAATTTGACTGCCACTATTTTTTGAATAAAAGTGCAAATAGAAGAGATTTGAATTTGAAAATCCCAATGCAACTACAGGGATGTTCTTTTTGGAAAGAGAAAAAGGATCCTAAGCAAGTCAAAAGTCTTCCACTCAATCTGTCTGCAGTTTGTGCTAAATCAATCACCCTTTAACTCCCAGTTGCTGTTCTTACTTTGTTTCTTTGTTGCTATTGTGCACTGGTATTGTTATAGTTTTTGGAACGTGTAAATTGTTGTCTCAATAAGAAAAAAAATCAAATACAGAAAAACAAAATTGTTCTCCCATGAATTACTGGTATGATCTGTTGTCATTGTCGATGAGGTCTTCACATTGAAAAGAGCAGGTTAGCAGACTGTGCAACTCAGTCTTTTAGACTGCTAAAGAAGTTTTCAGCATCTGAAGCAGAGCGGTTTTTCTAAAAAGACCACTGTGCTTCCTGCCATAATGTTGTCTTAACCTTAGGAAGTTTGGTTAAGTCAAGATAACTATACTTAAAGAAAACAAAAACGAGTGCAAAACATTGTAAACAAAAGTGTGACAATCACGGTCAAGTTACAGGATGCAAATACAAGCGTCTTGCTTCAAAGTATAGTGCTTCCTCTTGATTTCTAAACATCCTCCCTGAGCAAAATGCTGATACAGTGCATAGCTCTTCACAGCATGAAGAAAGAGCTATTTTGGAGTATTTGAACAAAATGAGACATCAACAGGCCTGAAACAAATGTGACACCTTGCAACCAAAAGCAAAAACATGACACTGGAACAATTTACTTGAGAAGACAAATAAATTGTCACATTCTCTGAGCTCTTTGTCTGAGCAGCTTCAGACCCACTTAGGTGAGTCTGTCTTCATGAAGACAGAGTTAACAAAACATCAGATTAAAAAGTAACGCTTCTCTTTAATTTATTTTATTTTTTCTAAAAAAATGTAATGTGTGCTTCCTGTAGTTAGCTTTACTATTACGACTACTTTACTACCACGCTGCATGTCAATAAATGGAACAAAAGTTGAATCTTTTCTGAAAGCATATTCATGAGAATAAATCCAGTATTATACTCTAAACCTCCGTCTTAGTTTAATACGGCAAATATAAAATGAATAAAGAGGAAATAGTTTTTTTTTGTTTGCTTGTTTAATTGATTCTTGAAGATGTTTAACCTCTCGTTAACCTTCTTCAGTTCTGAACAATGGTTTGGAGTTGTAGCCTCACAG